TGGCTGCTTCACTGGACTTCTGCACAACTAATTGTTTGGGGCGTGGTCCCTGAGCACTCGTGTAGGTGGCGTGGGTAATTAGTCACACACCTGGATCTGGACTATAACTTTTAAAAATGAGTAGTAGGTGTGTTTGTTCTATTGTTTTCTTTAGTTTTTCCTTATTTTTTGATACAGCCCATTTACTTTTTAAACTGTAGTGTATAATTTAGATATTTAGTTGGGTTGGCATTTTATTTTTGATAAATTATGGGGCATATTGTCGACTTACTTTATTTGGTTTTTCATTTTCTCTTTGATTAGAGTTAGCATGGTGATTGCCCTTTATTAATTTTGTTTTGTTTTCCAGTTGCTGGGTTCCAGGGCTGTGCTGGTTTGGTGGCCTTCTTCCAGTAACCTCAGCTCTTGGGTTTTGTTCTTTTCTTTTTTTTTTCATAGGATTTTAAAGTATTTATTTCTCTGTAGAACCCCGCCCCCCCCCCCCCAAAAAAAATAAATAAAAATTAATTAATACTTAAATATGAGGGGGGCATGTCCCCTTCACAAATAATTAACGCAACGCCTATGATTATGAGTATTAAAATACTGTACTTGGTTTGAACCAATTAAAGCTGTTTTGGCAACAATCTGATTCTGTGAAAATTAATAAAAACTGAACTACTTTTTAATAGAAGTAAAATGTATGGATTTTGCACCAAGGTAGTTTGCACCCTGCTGGAAGCCAGGAACACTGCCTTCAGGTCTGGAAACTCACAAGAGCTGAGAAGGACAAGGAAAGATCTGGTTGCTGGCATTAAGAGGGCCAAGGCCACTAAGAACATGCACAGAAATGGACATTCTATAACCACTCGTACTCCCCATACACACTCTATACTCCCAGGTCCAGGTAACGTCCCACCAGAGAGGCAACCCGTCAGAAGACGGTTCCTTTCCTTCTTGGATGGAGAAGAACAGACCACCGAAATCTCTGCAGCAGCAGAGCAGCCCATCAGCCCGGATGAAGGCTAGGCACCGCCCAAACAATCTGAGCCCAAACCCTGGCCCTGACCTCATCTAGAGACAGAGCCAGAAAGAGTCCATGCAGCCCCCACGAGCCAGCCAGCCAGAGCAACCCCAGGATGAAACAGTCCCAACCCCCCAGCAAACTCCAATTTCAACTCTGCGAACTCCACTCAGGCTCCCCCACAGGGCCAGCCCCAACCAGATGTTAAACATCCGCCCCGGAACATATAGACGCCACAAATCTCCCATCCACAGGAGGGTAACCCCATAGGAGAGCTCCGATCCCAAAAAGCCAACGAGAACACAAAAGCACAGCAAAACCTCCACCCAAGGCATCCCTGCTGCATCCTGCCCCTGGCCACACAACATGCCGCAACGAAAAGGCAATGGCCCCACATGGTACCACCCCAGCCCTGCACACAGATGCAACTGAGCAGATGTCACCAAGCCAAGCAACCACACCAAACCCCCGGACCCAATACCAGGACAGGATAAACTCCCACCACCACCAAGCATCCTCGGCAGAAGGCCCGCACCTGGTGCCAACAGCCCCCACCATGCCCCTTCATCCATTCAAACAATCATACGTCACCCTCATTGCTACGCCAGTGATAACCATCACCAAGCCCAGCTCCACTGTCGCCACCCAACAAATCGAAACATCAGCGGTACCACACCCAAAAAGGATATAACATCCCACAGCATACTCTACAACCCTCCGCAGCACCCCACAACCAGCAGGGCCAACATCCCCAAACAGAGTGACGAGTGGGGCAGGAAACCAGGGAGCCCTCCAAGCTGCCTGACCCCAGCCCGCCCATCCATGAAACAACACATGTGCCCACACCACCCAGGAACGCGCACCCAAGCCAACCCACTGCTCCAGGCCAAGGACAACCTGCCAGCCACCCCAACGCCACCACAAGGTGCACTCCATCGCTCCACCTACCTGACGGCAGTCGCAGACCGGCCCTAGGCCGGGGGCCAGAGCAGCAGGGAGAAGCTGGCCCAGTGTACCAAAGACCAGGCACCACGGACCCAGAGGCATCCAGGCATGCTGCCAGTGCACCCCTCCACACCCACCCACCCACCCACACACACACACACACACACACACACACACACACGCACATGCACACGCACATGCACACCAACACACACACACAAGACCGACCAGACAGCCCCTGTAAAAACAAAGCCATGCCCCTGATCACAGCCACACACTGCCAACAGCCATACACACCCCTAGCTGACCCCCCCACCAGAACCCGGCAGCCACCTCGGCCAAAGGGCCAGCCATTGCAATGAGGAGCCTTGATCCAAAAATCTGAACAACCCCGGGAGAACGGGAGAACCGGAGCACCGGCCCCAACCCCAACCGATCCCTAAGGCCCAAAGCCCACACACAGCCCAGACTCCAACCAAGTGGCCCACTCCTCCTCGTTGCCCCTGACCCCAAAACCAGAAAACAGGGGTGTGAAGGAAAAAAAAGAGAGAAAAACAAGGAAAAGTACTATAAATCCGCCATTATTAGAGCTATTAAACTGAAATTTGGTGTGGTGGTAGCTGAGAGCAAACCCCAACACATACAGTGCCTTGCGAAAGTATTCGCCCCCCCTTGAACTTTTCAACCTTTTGCCACATTTCAGGCTTCAAACAAAAATATATAAAATTTTAATTTTTTTGTGAAGAATCAACAACAAGTGGGACACAATCGTGAAGTGGAATGAAATTTATTGGATGTGTCAAACTTTTTAACAAATAAAAAACTGAAAAGTGGGGCGTGCAATATTATTCGGCCCCTTTACTTTTAGTGCAGCAAACTCACTCCAGAAGTTCAGTGAGGATCTATGAATGATCCAATGTTGTCCCAAATGACTGATGATGATAAATAGAATCCACCTGTGTGTAATCAAGTCTCCGTATAAATGCACCTACTCTGTGATAGTCTCAGGGTTCTGTTCAAAGGGCAGAGAGCATCATGAAGACCAAGGAACACACCAGGCAGGTCCAAGATACTGTTGTGGAGAAGTTTAAGGCCGGATTTGGATACAAAAATATTTCCCAAGCTTTAAACATCCCATGGAGCACTGTGCAAGCAATTATATTAAAATGGAAGGAGTATCAGACCACTGCAAATCTACCAAGACCCGGCCGTCCCTCTAAACTTTCATCTCCAACAAGGAGAAGACTGATCAGAGATGCAGCCAAGAGGCCCATGATCACTCTGGATGAACTGCAGAGATCTACAGCTGAGGTGGGAGAGTCTGTCCATAGGACAACAATCAGTCGTACACTGCACAAATCTGGCCTTTATGGAAGAGTGGCAAGAAGAAAGCCATTTCTCAAAGATATCCATAAAAAGTGTTGTTTAAAGTTTGTCACCTGGGAGACACACCAAACATGTGGAAGAAGGTGCTCTGGTCACATGAAACCAAAATCCAACTGTTTGGCCACAATGCAAAACAATATGTTTGGCATAAAAGCAACACAGCTGATCACCCTGAACACACCATCCCCATTGTCAAACATGGTGGTGGCAGCATCCTGGTTTGGGCCTGCTTTTCATCAGCAGGGACAGGGAAGATGGTCAGAATTGATGGGAAGATGGATGGGGCCAAATACAGGACCATTCTGGAAGAAAACCTGTTTGAGTCTGCAAGAGACCTGAGACTGGGACGGAGATTTATCTTCCAACAAGACATTGATCCAAAACATAAAGACACATCTACAATGGAATGGTTCACAAATAAACGTATCCAGGTGTTGGAACGGCCAAGTCAAAGTCCAGACCTGAATCCAATCGAGAATCTGTGGAAAGAGCTGAAGACTGCTGTTCACAAACGCTCTCCATCCAACCTCAATGAGCTCGAGCTGTTTTGCAAAAAGAATGGGCAGAATTTCAGTGTCTCCATGTGCAAAACTGACAGAGACAAACCCCAAGAGACTTGCAGCTGGAACTGCAGCAAAAGGCGGCGCTACAAAGTATTAATGTAAGGGGGCCGAATAATATTGCACGCCCCACTTTTCAGTTTTTTATTTGTTACAAAAGTTTGACACATCCAATAAATTTCATTCCACTTCATGATTGTGTCCCACTTGTTGTTGATTCTTCACCAAAAATTAAAATTTTATATCTTTATGTTTGAAGCCTGAAATGTGGCAAAAGGTTGAAAAGTTCAACAGGGCCGAATACTTTCGCAAGGCACTGTAGTACTGACAAATCAAAATTTAAAAAGGACCACAATGTGGCCATCCACATCAAAGTTTCTTCAGGAACTTTCTAGTTAAATCTGCGGTTACTTTTGTTGGTTATGCTTCAGCCAAAAGACCAACTTTTAGAAAACCTCCTTAGAAACTGTCAGTGATTGTGATTTTAATTATGCTGAATGTGAGGGTTGTTGGACCTGGAGAAACAGCATTTGAACTGCAGATTTTGTGATTGAATCTATTAGTGAACATTTGTTTGGTTAAAGAAATGTTGGCATCAGGATCAGTGGAGAGATTGGACCCAGATGCAGGCAGACACAAGGAGCTAAAATAAATCAGTTTATTAAACAGACAGAAACAACAGGCTGACAACAACTTACAAAAACACAGGGCGCACAAGAGGAAAGACCAACATCTGGCAGGTAGCCAAGACAATGACCTGCTGCTGTTGAAGTGGTTTCAATTGTGTGTGTGTGTGGGGGGGGGGGGGGGGGGGGGGGGGGGGGGTGACAGGTGACAGCACCTTGGTGATTCATCATGGGGAGCAGGTGCGAGTTGTAAGCTGACTGAATAACTGGTGAGGCTGACTGAGGGTGAGAAAGACCTCACAGGGAGATGAACCAAAGCACAAGAACATATAAACCGCAAGGAGAAATAATACTAAAAGATAAACTAAGAAAATAACCGAAAAACACAGACTATGACAGGAGTCACTGTGAATCTCATGTTGACCATTTGCCTTCAGACATTTAGGCTCAGAGGTGGGTTTAAATGAGGCGTTGACTGACCTTCTCTGGCTCCTCTGTGGTCCACACTTTGACAATGCTCATGTGCTTGTTGAGCTGGGTTTTGACGGTCCGCTCAATCTGACTGTTGAACTTCATGAAGGTCACGTAGCTCATGTAGCCTAGCACCAGCAGCATGCTCTCCCACCACAGGATCATATTATCCAGGAAGAAGACGATGAGCATGATGAGGTCCAGGATGTAAAAAGTCACATCCCTGAAGAGCGGCCACCAGGTCAGATGCAGCATCTTCCTGGAGAAGATGGCACACATGCCAATCACAAACAGGATGTTGAAGACGGCTGAGCCCACGATGGTGCCAATGCCCACGTTGCTGTGGGAGATGAAGACACCGATAAGGGAGGTGAAGAGCTCCGGGGCAGAACCTCCAGCTGCCATGAAGGTGGCCCCAGCCACGTCATCTGAGATCTCCAACTTGGTAGAGATGACTTCCAGCGCCGGAACAAAAAACTCATCACAAACAATGGCCAGGGCAACAAACATGTAGGTCATGCCTATGACATGCAGAACCACCCAGCCTTGTCGTCGTTGCTCCACTGAGAAGATGTCCTTTGGGTACTCACTTTTCCTCTGAGGGGGGTGTTGGGGAGGAGCTGTGGCGGTCACAGGTGGGGGAGTTGGAGGAGGTCTGGAAGGTTGAGGATTGACGTAGATGCACTGTTCGATGTCTGTCCTGTTGACGATGATCACCAGAGGAGGTTTGGTGGTCTCAGGCATTACATCCTCCTTCTCAGTCTCACTGGACGCTGACACCTCCCTAACGCTGACCTCCACGATGTCACTATTGCCCCCCTCATCTGTCTGGACAGAGGCTTGAGGCTCCAACAGCCGGGTTTTCAGAGTCAGTGTGTAGACAACACACAACAGCACACCTGAGATGAAGAAGAGGACACGACCGCGGCTGAGCCTTCTCCTCTGAGGTGACTGCATCGTCAGCTTCTGGACTCCAAACAGGAAGTTATGTCAGATGCATCGGTCACTCCTTTGGTGTTATGTGCCGAGAAGACACCACCGCGTGTTTCATCTTTCACAGCTGACAGCTTCCACATGTGGTAGAACTGAAAACACAGAATGATGCTAAAACCAGACACTTGTGCGAGAATAATTACAGATGTAGTGTGGGGTGGTGTGTGTTTGGTGGGGAGGTGATGGAGGATTCAGACTGCCACCTGTTGCTATGGTTACATAATCACTCAGGCTTTGGCTCCTTACAAAACATGAGCCCACTGAAACATGTTAATCATCTAAACACGGCCAGTACAACCTTCCTGAACACATTCAGAACGTTTTTGTCCAATTTGCTCGTGTTTGCGTTCCATTCAGCGCACGCTCTACGAAACATGACTACATGCTCGTGCGCAGCAGCAAAGTTAAATATGGAAGCAGTTATGCTGAGTTTTTAGAGCACATTTACAAGAAAAAAAAGAGAAGAGTTTCAGGTTTAATTGTTATTAACCATGCAGATGATGATGTTAGAATGTAACGTGGGGTTTGTTGTGGGTCCTACCTGCACCATCGGTACTGTCCCTCCAGCTGCGCACGACGGACGCAGAGATGCTGACTCCGGTTTCTGGACATTACAGGGACACAGCTTGGACTGAGCTCAACATAATGCTGCTAAAGAGGATTAGGAGCAGAGTAGCACTTCTACCCTCCACTCATTCTTCATACTGCTGCTGTGAATGAAGCCGAGCAGAGCAGCTGCAGGCTGAGGGCAAACATGATGGTCCATGATGAAGCACCGGTGATGATGATGTTCTGAAAGAGTTCGGACCACATGCTCGGAGTGGTTCATTCTGATGTAAACATCTAATGACGAGTTTAAAACTCTTATCAAAGTCCACTTTCAAAGAAAAACATGTCTCCATGTTTGTGAGTAACAGATAAATGATTTCAGTGATGTGAAGTTTAAATTGTTTATTTTATTAACTTTTTATTTTATTTTTTATTTAACCTTTATTTATACAGGTTAGTCTTACTGAGTCACAACAACTAGGACTCATTTTCAAGAGAGACCTGTTTTAGTCAGACAACAATATACAACACTTAGGGGAGCAGTGGTGAAGAGGTTAGAGAAAGTGGGCATGTGATTGGAAGGTCGCCGGTTCGACTCCCAGTACTGACAACATCAAAATGTGGGTGGGAAAGGGGAAACACTCACACCTGCCTCCACCTTCATTTGCCTCATGCCGAGCCCTTGAGCAAGGTCCTTAACCCCTACCATCTGCTCCCCTAGATAGCAGCTCTCTGCTCCACACAGAGGGCTATGGTAGCTCGGTGGTCAGTGGCTGCGTCAGAAAGGGCATCTGGTGTTAAAACAATTGCCACGTCTTCATGCAAGTTACTTCACTGTGGCAACCCCTGAAGGAGGGAGCAGCCGAAAGAAAGAAAAAAGCAATTAAAATATGAAAATAGTGTAATAAAAACACTATCGCTGTTAGCAGCGTGTTCCTGTTAGCAGCGTTGTTCTGTTAGCAGCGTTGTTCTGTTAGCAGCGTGGTTCTGTTAGCAGCATGGTTCTGTTAGCAGCGTTGTTCTGTTAGCAGCGTGGTTCTGTTAGCAGCGTGGTTCTGTTAGCAGTGTGGTTCTGTTAGCAG